AACTGAAGCAAGAAACAACTTAGGAAATAATTCTCTAAACCAAATGCTTAACTAAATCAAATCAGATGCGAATATATCAATTTAAAAAATATATAAACAAGTATTAATAGGAATCAGGAATATTTTTTAACTATTTGAAATTTGTGTTGTTCTATCTATAATTTTATTAAAATATTATTTTGAACATACTGAGAGACACACACACACCTACCTACACACACACAATAAAATAACACAGTTAAAGAAAAGCTTATCAAATATAAAAATATCCAATTATCTTTAATAAGTTCATATCCTAACATAAATACTAAATTCAAATGCTTCTTGAGTTAAGCGCCTTGAGCCATATTTTATGAATACAATATATAATATATATTTAAATATATTTATGAATATATATTAAGTATTTTCTACAATTACTCATAAATTTTATGGTGCATATTTTGCAAATGTTTTTTTTCTTATGTCTTCCCATATATAAATTTATTTATATATATATGAAAACATACCGCTTTGATCTGTAACTGTGTCTATAAATTAATCCAAAAACAAAAAACGAAACGAAATGAAACGAAACACGCTACCAGCAGAAGCTTCAGCGGCGTGCCACGTCGTCTGTTCGACAGCGGCGGCAACAATTGCAACAGCAGCAGCAACAACAGCAGCAGCGGCAATCGACAGCAGACAACGGTGGCTGCAGCTGGAGGTGGAGCATCGGGCGGATCTTTTGGCTATGCGCAGGGCAGCAGCTGTTCGCCCTGTGGCACTCTAGCCAGCATCCATTCCAATCACTCGGCCTCCTCGTCGAACGGCAGCAACAGCAGCAGCAGCGGTGCCCTCATCACCTTTCAGTGCAATCCGGATACTGTGGATGGACCGTCACAGCAGACGCTGATCGGCTCACCTAATGGACATGGAAATAGTCCTAGGATTGGCAATGTCATGTCGGGAGATGCACTCAGCTCGCTGGCAGCCAGTCCCACAGATGCGTGCAGCATACGTTCCAATCCATCGGCTGCATCGCTGCTGCTCTCCACATCGGCTGCGGCAGCGGAAGCATCTGCTTTAACCTCGGCCACCATGATGTCTGTCTCGGGCGCCACGCTCTCGCCGCTGGCCACCACACAGATCATACGTCGGCCCAGCATCACAATGATGTGGGTTTTCCATTTATCCTCACAGCGAACTGTAAAACTTAGTTGCCTGCCTCTATTTCGTTGTATCAACATGTTAGATCCTTAAGTTATGCTACTTTCCTGTTGTGCTCGTAACTCTTTGTGCTCTAATTTTGTCTATAAACAATTATTTAAATAATTTATTAGAGCTGGAAAACAGTTGACAGATACTTTCTATATGTGGGCAGCTCATTTCATCTGTCCGTAAAACATAAATGTTTTATTTATATAAGAATGCAGCTTTAAAATTTTAATTTGCGAACAATTTTCCACTAAAATTATGATTTATTACAATTTTAATTTATAAATTTCAAAATATTCGATTTTTTTCGAGAGAATTTTTTTTTATATTCTTACGTTTTCAATGCAAAAGATTTTTGATACGAAAATCATATCTGAATTAAAAATATTAATTTATTTCTTTTAATATTTTTATCAAATTTTAAATTGCTTAGAAAGCAAAAATATATTATATAAATGTTATTATATATTTATTTATAAATTATTTTTTAAAAAAGCCCAAATGTATAAAATATTCAATATATATATATATATATATATATATATATATATATATATATATATATATATATAAATTGAACGCCATATACATTTATATATTTTATGTTTGGTTTTTTTTTTAGACCAGAAACCAATTAATTAAATATAAAATAATATAATATTTATATTTTATAGAAAACAATTTTTTTATATATTTTTTTTATATATTTGATTGTTTGTTTTATGTTTGAATTTAAAATAAATCCAAACTCTATTAAATAATAAACATAAATTGAAAGATAAGCTAGGTAAAGCCAGGCAGAAATTGAAGCATTGTATATTAAAGTTTATTTAATTTCCAGTTCTAATATAAATGGGCTAATTGTATTTATTAACAAATACAATTTCTTTTAAAATTTATGTTATATATATATATTACTTTTTGTTTAATTCAACAATTGTGTGTAAAATGATGTCTTCAATAATGATACAAATTATTTATAAATTTATTATGTAACATTAATTTATATTAATTTAATTTACAATTATGTTCTTCATGTAATGTTTATATTACTTTTCAATTTTATTTTTTGTGCACTTTCTAGTTCTTATTTTTAGGCGTTCTCAATGTTTTCATGTTGCACCAGTTTTTGTTAAATACTTTTAAGCCTAGTATGTATATAAAGACACACACACAGACATAGACACACTCATATATGTTTTATGCATGGCATGGCCAGATTTGATAGCCGATGCAATTGTTTTGGTCCCGCAATATCCCTGGTCTTGCCTATATTCCTATATATATCGTGTGATTTTGTAACTCGCTGCTTATTCACATTTTATAAACTAAACAGGGCGCACCGCGTATATATATATCTATATTATTTTAGATTCTATATGCATTATATGTATTTAATTGTACTGTCGTCTTTTGATTTCACAGGAATCCCAGTTCCGGTTCGTTAGTTATAAGTGAAACAGGATCTCTAGATCGCACGAAAAGCAGCGGCGAGAAGCGCAAAAAAGGCGCCCTCGATGATGGTCCACGCGTTTCGGATCGTGTCGAGGAGACGCGCGTCAATCCCAATTCGTTAATAGATGAGATTTTAAAGGACACAAAGTTAGATCAGTTGGGCGAATCCGCTGAGAGTGAGTACAACTTTATATCTAATAAATATCGAAATTAATAATACTCTCTCTCGTCAATTTAGCATCTGGCTTGCAGCTTTATATAGCGCGCGATGGTACCGCCTCGCTAGGCGGCCATGAGGTCAAGTCGAACGTGCGGGCGGGTGCCTTTAAGCAGGTGGTCATGCAGGATCGAAGATAGTAGCAGTTCAACGATTCTAGTGTGTGCGTTTCGTAAAATGTATTAGAAGACTAAAACAAAAACCCACAACAACAACAACAGCAGATTGAAATACAAGTATAGTGAAAAACAAAGGAGTTAAATGTAATGATTTAATTTTTACATGATATTTACTAGCAAGCTAAAAGTGAGAGTATATATATATATGTACAGCATATATATATAAACTATATATATAATTGTATGTCATGTCAAAAGTACACTACTATAAATGTAACTAGCTATATATATATATACATATATACCGTTATATGTAATATTGAATGTGTGTATTAAGCGTTATGTTAGACACAACAAATAAAATAACAGCCTAAGCATAACATCGTGTTAATTAGCAGCGCTCTCACTTATGTTAATTAACATTTTGTCGCTGCTGTTAGCGCTTCTGGGAGTGTTTTGGATACAAATATTTTGCATACAGAAACTTTATAATTTGTATTTGCACATTTTATTTATTTTTATTTTCTTGTTTAACCATTTTTAATTACGAACCTCCAACACACTTCCAAAGTCAGTAAAACAACAAAAATTAACACAAATTTTATTGTATATTGTGTGAAGAAGAGAAAAAACCAAAAACCAAATATAAAAAACTTTTCAAATTTTCCAATTAAACACTTAAATGCTTGCACCTTAAATGTAAATAGAAATTTAAAATTTAAAATTTAAAAAAGAGCTAATTCGAAATTTCAATAAAATACTTGCAACAATATTTAATTTATTGCTTCCAAAAAATAAATGATAAACAAAATAGGAAATACAAAAAAATCGAAGCTGTCATTGCAACAAAACGAAATGCAAATTTGCTTGCCACACACACATATATATAACGAAACATATATACAATTGAGAAGGAGTTGAAACTAAAAACAGAAAAATAGAGCCTTCCGCTATATATACATACAAATGCCATAATAAATGCTGCTTCCTCTTGAAAACTGCTAAAATATATTCAAAAAAATGAAAAAAAAAAAAAAAAAAAACAAAAATCAAATATATACGAAAATAGTAGACAAAATTCAGCCGAATTCAAGTTATAAAATTTATTTGCAGCAGTTGAAAATTCACATTTATATTTATGCACATTTTTTTAACAATTTAAACTTAAAAGTAAACTTTGCATTTTGCATTTGAAACAACAATTTCTGAAATGGAATTTGATTTTTTCTAAATTCGACTCGTAGCTAGCGAAGTAAACAATTTTTAATCAATTTCAATTCTCCGCAACTAAAAGAAAAGTAAGAAAAAAACGTTTATGTATAAAACAAAATACAAATACAATTTTGTGTTAATATATTATAATTAAAATATATTTAAAATTACAAATGAAACATAAAGAAAAACAAAATGCAATTAGTTGTTAGCTTAGCTCTTAGTTCATTCATGATGAGTGTGTAAAATTGCTTTAGTTATGTTTTTGATAATTTGTATAAAGTGAAGATATATAAGCCAGGTAGCTCGAGAGCTAGTTTTTTAAATTGTATATGATAAATAAAAGGGAAGAAACAAAAAACAAATAGACACAACGTTTATATGGTTGATTGTCAAGCTAGCCAAATATTGTTGGTAATATATAATACATATGGCTAAAAGCCGCAGTCATAAAACACTTTATTTCTTGACTCAAACTGAATAATTCAATTCCTTTGCCTTGTTTCAAATTCATTTTCTTATCAATGCACTTCATTTAGGATTTCAATTACATTTACAGATAAGCCCGCCAATAAATGCAGTCTATAGTCTAAAGATAATGGTCGACTAGCCATATTTATATGGCCAACGATATTTGGTTAGCCCAACTGACAAATTTTGTGAACATTTTTGAGCTGATCTTAGGCTAAAAACAAACGAGAAAAATTAAAAAAAAATACATTAAATAAAAATATGTGAAAAACAATTACCCCAATAAAGTAAAAATACAAAAAATAAACAAAAAATAGAAGTATTTACTTTCACAGCGGATCATAGATAAAGCGTAAAAAGGTGCCGCCTGCAGCAGTCAGCACAAAGGACTTCGCATCGAACTTCATTTCCGGCAGAGTTCGCGGACAGCACTCCACGCGATAGTTCTTTAGTATGTATAACAGGCCCACCTGTAGAAGAAACAGTTAAGGTTAGGTATGTCGATCAGAAATGAAGCTTGAATAAAACCCACCTTGATCTCCAACAGGCCCAGCAAGGTGCCCAGACAGCCACGTGGACCGGCGCCAAAGGGCAAATACGTCATGGGCTGATGTTGTGCGCGCTGCTCCGGCGCAAAACGTTCCGGATCGAACTTCAAAGGCTGCGGCCAGTACTGCAAAAGCAACCGCATTAAGTTATGCCTAAGCTCATTATTCATTGTTGCCTTCTCACCTGCTCATCCCGATGCAGTCCCAGCACAGAGATGTAGACAGGTGTGCCTGGCGGCAGACGCAAAGCTTTGCCTCCACTCCAACCGGACAAGTCATAGCCTGCCTTGGCATTGCAGCAGCGATCTAGAAAGGCAGTGGGCGGATACAAGCGCAACACCTCATCCACCACCTGCCGCAAATAGGGCAAGCCGCTGAGCGTCTCATAGTCCAATTGGCCAGACCCGCAGCCTAGCAGCGCAGCGCCCAACTCCCGCCTAAGACGCTGCTGTATGGCCGGCTGGCGGGCCAGCTCGTAGAGCGCGAATGTTATGGTCGAGGAGGAGGTATCGAAACCGGCCAGCAGCAGGAATGCCGCCTGGGCCACGAAAAAGTCACGACGATGCGCCACACTCTCAGGTGGTTGGGTGCGCTGCAACTGCAGGAATATGTCAATCAGATCGTGACGCTGTTCGCCACTGGCCGAGCGCTGCTCCATCACCCAGTTCATGGACTTTCGCATAAAGCGCTCGTACTCCTCCGAATAGAGATGCGTGCGCAGTTGACGCGAGCAGCGTGGAAAGAAGAACATGGTGAAGAGATGCAGCAGACGCTTCGGCCGCGGGTCATTCACCTCGATGCACATGCGTCGGAACTCTGCGTCCGGCTGCTGCAGGCAGTTCGCCTCCAGGCCGAATGCCAGCGAGGCAATGATGTCCGTGCTGAACAGCGCGCTCAACTGCTTGACCTCCAGCTCGAAGTGGTCCTCTGATGTTGCAGCCGCTTGCAGCTGCCTGGCCATGTGCTGCTCCAGCTGCTGGCCAATCTGCTGCAGCAGTCCAAACATATGACGCACTTTGCCAGCAGCAAAGAAGGGCGCAAAGATTTTATGCGTCTCACGCCACATTTCGTACTTGGAGAAGAACAAATTCTGGGAGCCCATCGTGTCGCCAATGGCATCGGTGGTCTCAAAGCGACTCGAGAACTGCGCAAAGTCCTCGACAAGAATGCGCTTGATTAGCGCCGGCTCACGCAGCAGCAGCGCATGATTGTGCAGCACATGTATGCCCACATAGGCCTGACCTTTGGCCTCGGGGCGCTCGTATAGCTCGCGAAACTGATCACCAAAGCAGCAGCAGCCACGCAACAGACGCCAAACATTGCCCACAAAGGGCGTGGCGGGTGTTTGAGGTACGCCCAAGCGCTGCCAGTGACCAAAGTGCCAGCGCTGCCAAAGCCAGGCAAGCAGCAGCAGCAACAACAGGCCAAAGATAAACATCTTGCAACAATCAAGAGTCAACTGAACTGGCAATCGGCTTGTGTGCAATATAAGTGCATTTGAAATGTAACTAGACTGAGAGAGAGAGAGAAAGAGAGCGATCAATAGATAACAGTTTGCAGTTTGTTACATTACCAATTTGCGCTGTTTCTCTCTCGCTCTCTGTGTTTCGCTCGGAACTGCCGACAAAAGTGTCGTATTCAATTTACATGGACTGAATGAAAATATGAATAAATTTATTATTACTTGTTAACCTTTTGTATAATTTTAATAATTCATCCAAATAAGTCTATGTTAGTTGAATGTAACAGAGAGAGCTTTTTAAAAGCTCGAGGCTGTGCTTTTGCTCTGTGCTTAAATTAAAAGACGCTTGGACTTTAATTAATTACAAGATCTTTGGACTTTAATTAAGAGGAGTTAAATGGCTTAGTAGAAGCTAGAGCTCTTCTGTTTTAGTTCAAGTGGACTTAAATCTGCACACTCGAGTACAGTCTGATTTTGAGAGTGAGAGCATTTGCCGAATCGACAATTGCGTGAGCGGAAGGTACAGGCATAGCTCTCTCTCTCTCTCTCTCTCTCTCTGCCTCTAGATAACATAGCTTGTAATCTACAATCCACACATACTTCGCTCTAGCTCCATTTATTTGTGTGCAATCATTGTTCAACTATTAAGAAAGTTCACTCAGCTAAAATTGCGTCTTGCTATATGCGCTCGCACTACTGAAATGGTTCCTGGCCGTGGTGGGAATGCGCGACTATGCGCTTTTGCAGCTACTCAGTACAAGCGCTCAGGTTCAGCTTAGCTTCCACTAAAAGCTCCGCTCCTGTGGATTCTGTATGTGCTTTTGCGCTTATGCAGTTCAACTAATGGCAAAGTACTCAGCTTAGCTTCCACTAGGGTACTTTACTCTGTATGATTCTGTATTATTCTGTATTATTATATATATAATATACAGTTTACCTCAGCTGTATTAAAAAACAAAACTGACCATTTTACATCGTAGAGCTCATCTTGGAATAATAAAGAAAAGACATTTTTGAAAAAATTGTAAAATCGTTTATTTTACACTTAAGTCATAGAATTGTAGGCACTACACGCTGCTTAGCTTAGCGCCAACTGCCGTTGCAGCTGAAGCTGCAGCTGCTTCTGGTTCTGCATCTACTGATTGCTGTTGTGGCATCCGTTGCATACACACACATATATATTTATATATATAATGAATCTGCCTCAGCATGAGGCAATTTGTACAATTTATAGCTGCTGACTGTGGAACGTAGCGGCTGCCAACGGGGCGAACATTTTGCATTGACATTGGATTTGTTGTAGCAATTGGGTTAAATTCATATCACGAGCAGCAACAACGGTTAGGAGCCATGCAGATTGGGATGCTGTCCGCTGGTGTTCTGCAGAGCCTTGGCCACTTCCTCCTGCAAGGTGCTGGGCGGCTCCGAAACAATATCCGTATGCATCGATAGGTACTTTAATTTGTTCGTAACAGCTGAAGTAAGAAATTGGAGTTACCAAAGTTGTTTGATGACCAACTGTTTAGGCATACTAACCAGGTCGCAGATCTATAAGCGAACAGTGTTGATCCACCCAGAGGAAAGCGGTGCGGCGCAGCTCATCCAAACTGGCGCTGGAAACGGTCGAGGTGTACGAGGCCAACAAGGGTTCCAGAATGAGACCCAGCTGCAAAACAAAAAAATTAGTTTTGTACATTAATATGAATATGGGTAATATATAATCTGTACTTAAAAATCCAACTTTGAAAATAAATATCTAATTAATTAGCTTAAAGAAGACTTTCAATTTAATACACGATTATGCAAAACCCAACTCAGTCTCTGATGCCCATCAGGAATACATATAACATACAAGATATATCCAACATATTTTGTGAAATATTGAAAATTTCATTTATCTGCAAAGCTGTCTCTAGATTTACTAATTTTTTCCTTCTCTATTTTTCCTCTTCTCTGGCAACTTACAATCCAAAATTTCCAATCGTTCATCGTATTGTAGCGTACATAGACCTCGTATAGCTGACGCACATGCTCTGTGCCCTGCCGTGTCACAGGCGCTCCATTCGCCGGCAGCACCGAGTGCAGATGCCTATAAAAGGAGAGTAATTCAATTAGCTGAGCCAAGTACTTGGTGTGAGACGACCTACATGAGGGAGTTGTTCAGTGCATCGCGCTCCATGCGTAACGCTTCGATTTTATCCTTGAGCACATTGCGCTCCTGCCGCAGCTGTTTGATGTGATCGGCGCCCTTTTGCAGCATCGCCGCTTTGCTTAGCTTGGCATTCGGGTTCTGTTGCAGCTGCGGGATGAGCGCGTGCAGCGTATCAAAACCATTTTTGATATTATAGCGACGCTTCTGCTCTGCATGAATGTGACCGGCGCGACGTTGCGTATCGCGTGGCTGATACTTCAGGCTGGTCGTCGGCGATAGCGGCGAGTCCTGCGAATCATGGAACGGCGAGTCCGGCGACAGGCTCAAGTTGCTGCCCAAATTGGGATTATTGCCCTGACCCCCAAAGCTGAGCATCTTCGCAATAGGCGGACTGTGCAACGAGGGTGCAGCTATCGACAGTGGCAACGATGCGGACTTCTTTGGTGAATGTTGTTGCGTTGGCACCGGCACTGAAAGCGGCGATGTTGCTGCATTGTTCACATAGAGCGGTTGCTGCTGTTGCTGCTGCTGCTGACTGTTGTTGCTATTGTTGTTGCTGTTGCTGTTGCTGTTGCTGACTATGGCATTGGGGGAAGAATTTGACTGTTGCGTTTTGCTGGCCACGGCTGCCTGCAGGCGTGTATCTGTTTATAGAAGAGAACAAAGAGTTTCAGTTTCGTTTCATAAAATAGAGAGAGAGAACATTGTCAACTAACTTGAGGTCAGCAGCTGGGCGAGGGTGCTGTTGAGCATTGGATCGCTGGTTGCCTGTTGCATCTGTTGTGTGATCAGCAAGTTGCTGGTGCTGCTGCTGGCGTGTCCGTTGTTGACGGGTGAGCCACCGCCGGCAGCAACAACTGTATGCTGTTGATGCATAGAATTGCTGCGCACACGGGATTTGCCCTTCACATGATACTTGGGCATGGCGAACTGTTGCTGTTGCTGTTGCTGTTGCTGCTGCTGCTGCTGCTGCTGATCGTGATGAATGAGCTTGGGCAGCGACACATTTAGTGGCAGACTATTGGAGCGATGCATCTCCTTGGGCAAGATGGTGGTTTGATTGGGCGTGGCCCAGGAGGCAACGCTGACAGCTGGTTGCTGTGGCAGCAGCAGACTCGATACAGTTTGTTGTTGCAGCTGCAAGTGCTGCTGTTGCTGCTGTTGCTGTGTGTTCGAGGCCTGTTGCTGGCGTGTCAGCTGCATGATCTGTTGCGGACTTAGGCTCAAAGGCAGCGACTGTTGCATCTGCAGCTGCTGCTGCTGTTGCTCCTGTTGCATGTAATTTTGTTGCTGCGGCTGTTGCTGCTGCGAGACTCGCGGCACGTTCAAAAACGTGCCCGTGGATGCGGACTTCTTAAACTGCGGATACGGCTTGTAGCTGATTGAGTTGTAGGCGCCGTCGTTCAGCAAAGACATAACATCAGTTTGATGTGGCTCCACCTTGACGCTAAGCTGCTGTTGCTGCTGTGTTGGCAACTGTTGCTGTTGCTGTTGCTGCGGATAACTATCTGCATAGGTACTTAAGAAACTTTGCGTGTTGTAAGCGTTTTGTTGCTGTTGCTGTGTGGGAAAGATCAAGCGCGGCTGTTGCTGCTGTTGCTGTTGCTGCAACAGTTGCTGTTGTTGCTCTTGGGATGTCTGAAACGGCTGCAATACAGCACCACCGCTCAAGTGCTGCTGCTGCTGTTGCTGCTGTTGATTCTTCTGCTGCTCGGCCAGCATCTGCTGATAGATGTTCGTCTGATGCAGCGTCGGCTGCGCCTTATCATAGTTGTGCGGCTCGCGTCGTATAAGACGCTGCGTATTCTTGGCAATGCGTCCATTGATGACGCTCTTGCTGGAGAAGCTGTCGTTGGGGGAGCAACGATTGCTGCTATCACTTCCGCCCATGGCGCCAAAATGCTTGGCCGCATGCAGACGCGTCGATTGGCCATCGTTGAGCAAATGTTGCTGCTGCGTATCGCTGACTGTCTGCTGTCGCGCCGACACAAACTGCTGCTCAATGTCGCCATAGGGCATGCTGCTAATGGGCGTATTCAGCTCCAGCATATTGGCATCCACTTGAGCATTGCCGCCACTGCTACCGGCCACCACCTCCATCATGTTGTCGCTGGTGTAGAGCGTGTGCGGAGCACCTACGATTGCCTGCAGGCAATAGTCGTCGTTCTTGAGCATCTCCGCATCGGTTCCCTCCTCGGGCACGGGTGGCAAGCGTGAGCCGGTTGTGGTGAGCAAATCTAGATGGACAAGACTTGTAATATCTATATAAAATATATATACAATTTCTATATACCTGAGAAGGTAATATCGATATCATCTAAATTCGGTTGCAACGGCCCCAGACTTGGCTGTATAAAATCCGCAATGCCTGCACCGCGTGCTGTAAGCAGTTGGTAAAATATAAAATTAGTTTCGAATACATTTATAGATCTATTATAATTAATGCTTACCGATCTCTCTAGAATCTGGAAATGGAAATGGTCCATTTATTGCCGAGAACAATGTATCCGTTGTCCAGTCGTCTGGCATTAAGTTTCTATCGTTCAGCGGAGACCATTCCAAAAAGTCCAATTCACTTTTCTGTAAAGAAAACAAGTTTAAGAAATTATTAAAAAGCTTCTGGCATAGTTTATTTATAAATATATAATATCTGTACAATACGGAAATATAACTGATCTTACAAAAATTATTTGAAAAACTTATTTGAATTTAATAACAAAAAAAAGTGCATATATTATTATTATTATTATTATTAGTTTGAATAAAAAAAAATTAGTATTAATTGGAGATAAAAAAAATAATTGGATATAAAATTAATAATTGTTTTTAATTAAAAAAAAAATGTTTTAATAAAATAAAAAAAAATTAAATTGTAAATATTTTTATTATAAATATTATTGTTTTAAATTATATAGATAGATAAAAAAAAATAATTGGATATAAAATTAGAAATTGTTTTTAATTTTAACAAATGTTTTTATTATAAATATTATTGTTTTATATTATATTTAAATTATATACTTAACTATATAATATTTAAATTCGAATGTTTAATTTAATATTTTATTTTAATTAAAAAAAAAATATAAATGTGTAAAAAAATTATACAAGAATAAAAAAATGTTTATTATCTCTGAATAAAAGTGTCAAAGAGAAATTAAAAAGTTATTTGATTAATTCCTATGGGTATCTGAGGATATTGAGCGACCATTTGGCCTTTGGTAAAAACTGTAATTAAACTCTTGCAATTAAATTTTAGTTTCATTTATAAATAAATTAAAAAATAGAGTTTATTTAAGCAAGTAACTAGCAGTAATTGCTCTCAGTTAACAAATTGTAGTTCGTCAAGCAACGCGAGTGCTGGAATCAATATTTCAAATTAAAATGCGACTCTTAAGGTTCCTGCATTATCAGCGCTATTTGGGCTTGAACAATCTGGACTATTCCGCAGTCTTAAGACGTTATATACTAAAAGGCAGCTGCATTTCATATATGCTGTATGTGCTCGTGCAATTCGTCCTGATCGCTTGCATTGCGGCCACGTTTATGCAGTGGTCGCTCAACTATCAGGAAACTGATTCGAAAACGGGCGACAATTTCGATCACTTGGTCATCTTGGCTGCATCGTTTACCCAATTGATGGCCAATGCTTGGATGCGCTTGCATCAACGAATGCAACTGCAGCTGCTGAACAGATTGGGCCATGTGGCCACGTCGCTGCGAGTTGTTAACTTGGAGAAGATACGAGCTCGTTGGCTCTACTATCTGTGGCTCATCATTTGCTTTTACTATGCCTTGGATATTGTTCTATTTGTGATATTCGATATGAACTTAAAGCTGGATCATTTGATCTTTCTGCTGGGCTTCTATGTGCGCCTCGTCTGTGCAAACTTCATCATCATCTGCTACAGCTCACTCGTGTATCTCGTGAAGCATCTGTTTCGTGTCCAGGCAGCCCAGCTGCAACGTCAACTGCGCAGCAGGCGCATATGCCTCAGGGACATAGCCAACAATTTGCAGCTGAACGATGAACTGCTGCTCTTGTGCCAGGACGAGTTGGTGAATGTCTTTGGAGGCGCTCTAATTCTACCCTATCTATATGGCACACTCGATGCCATTGAGGTTTGCTATCTGGCATTGCCTATGGATGGCTTTTCCTACATGGAAATGCTGCTGCTGCTCAGGTGGATGATACCAATTTGCATATTCTTGAGCATGCCAATGATAATCAACGATTTGGCTGATGAGGTAAGTGCGCGATAAGACTATTTACGAGTTGTCAAAAATAATATGGATGAACATTGAATGATGACTAAAAAATACCCTAGGTCTATTGAATATAGATGGAAACTTAAGGAATAGATAGGACTGAGCTTAAGGCTGAACATATATCTTTATATCTTTATATGTTAAAGACCTCTAAAAGCAAATATAACTTAACTATATCTCTCTTTATTACGAGAGTATATATTTCGAAAACATAGTTGAGTTCCTCTAGATTTTATATCAAACCTAGATCATTTTACTTTTTACATTATCAACTCAATCAAGCTCTTTAAGCATTATTAGAATTCTGCTGTAGATAAACACAAAACACTATTCAAATAGGCGCCCCAAGCACTCCAATTAAGCAGCAATTAAGTAGATATTTTAGCGATTTCGTAATGTTTCTGTTTAGACAATTCCCAAAACTCATCCAGAAATTTAGTTGAACGCATGACGACCTAAGGCACGACACGCACAAGTTTCCGGGTTCAGCATGTCAAGGTTTAAACGTAGTGGAAAACTTTTTCCTTTTATACATTATCAACGTTTCATGGGCCTAAGCGACATTGATTACTCCAGTGACTTGGAGTGCTACGTGATCAATGGAAACTGGCGTTCCCATGGCATTCAGCTCGTTATACAGATTATTTTTGTTGCGTGTTTTTACGGTGCGGTTTCTGGAAGATATGTGAATTTGCCATCAGAGTCGGGCAACGATTTTCATCACATCTATATACTATTGGCTCCGATAACTCAGATATTGGTTAATGTTTGGCTACGTGTGACACAGGATACGCAACTGATACTCCTTGAGAGGTTAACCAATTGGACCAGGGCTTTAGAAGTGAATACCTTCGATTTGACACGTCCTAAGTGGTATTTCCGCATCTGGGTGGCCATTAGCGTTCTCTATGCCTGCGATATTGTCTTTGCGCGCTTCTACTTTAATGTTAATCATAGTTTTGGCTACTACCTCGCCATGTCGGGCTACATTGTGCTGCTCGTGCGCACCAACTATATCATTCTGTGCTACACATCCTTGGTTTACCTGGTAATGATTCTGCTGCAGCAGCAGGCACATCAGCTGCAGTCTGAACCGCCCATTACTGTGGCTAGACTAGCCCAGAGCTTGGCCATTCACGATAAACTCTTCCTACTGTGTCATGAGCAAATTGTTCATGTTTATGGCGGCTCTTTGGGATTCCTATTTCTCTATACTGTACTGGACGCTATATGCACGTGCTACTTAGCCTCATTGGAGGAACGTTTTTCCTTCGTCGAAGTCCTGTTCGTGCTCTGCTGGATCGTGCCAATATTCGTGTCTCTGATCATACCTCTGACAGTCAACCATCTGACTAAGCAGGTGAGTGGGTAGACTAAGCTTTAAGTTGTCTCTTAGCATTAACTCAACTTGAATTCTATAAGGAAACATGAAACGTTATTCTCAGTCGTATTTTTATCTATATCTCTATATGTCTAAGGCTCTATGTCTCTGTGTAACTAAGTTTTAATGCTTCTGGTTCTCTGAGTGTCTCTCTCTATCAATCTTTCTGTCTTTCAATCTTTGCCTTTCTCTCTATCCCTCTCACTAACTCTATCTCTATCTCTATCTCTATCTCTATCTCTATCTCTATCTCTATCTCTATCTCTATCTCTATCTCTATCTCTATCTCTATCTCTATCTCTATCTCTATCTCTATCTCTATCTCTATCTCTATCTCTATCTCTATCTCTATCTCTATCTCTATCTCTATCTCTATCTCTATCTCTATCTCTATCTCTATCTCTATCTCTATCTCTATCTCTATCTCTATCTCTATCTCTATCTCTATCTCTATCTCTATCTCTATCTCTATCTCTATCTCTATCTCTATCTCTATCTCTATCTCTATCTCTATCTCTATCTCTATCTCTATCTCTATCTCTATCTCTATCTCTATCTCTATCTCTATCTCTATCTCTATCTCTATCTCTATCTCTATCTCTATCTCTATCTCTATCTCTATCTCTATCTCTATCTCTATCTCTATCTCTATCTCTATCTCTATCTCTATCTCTATCTCTATCTCTATCTCTATCTCTATCTCTATCTCTATCTCTATCTCTATCTCTATCTCTATCTCTATCTCTATCTCTATCTCTATCTCTATCTCTATCTCTATCTCTATCTCTATCTCTATCTCTATCTCTATCTCTATCTCTATCTCTATCTCTATCTCTATCTCTATCTCTATCTCTATCTCTATCTCTATCTCTATCTCTATCTCTATCTCTATCTCTATCTATCTCTATCTCTATCTCTCTCTATCTATCTATCTCTATCTCTATCTCTATCTCTATCTCTATCTCTATCTCTATCTCTATCTCTATCTCTATCTCTATCTCTATCTCTATCTCTATCTCTATCTCTATCTCTATCTCTATCTCTATCTCTATCTCTATCTCTATCTCTATCTCTATCTCTATATCTATCTCTATCTCTATCTTTATGTCTATTTTAATCTCTCTGACAGCCAAATTCCATCTCTATTAGTGCTCATTCTCTCTCCACAATTTCCCAGTAATGCAAATAGGTAACTTGGCAAATGGTTGCAGATTATCCTGAATTTCAATTAATTAAATTACCAATAGAACTTAAGTCTAATGGTTTGCAGGTAATAAGTATGGCATTCAGTTATTCAATCGACTTCTGAGCGGTCGCTGGTGTAATCTAAGAGTCTAAGCAGAATGTCCGGCAAGCCAGAGCAAGGAAGGCTCTTAACTTTAATTTACTATCAACGGTATTTGGGACTAACCGATATTGAATACAATAGCATTGACAATTGCTATGTGATCAATGGAAATTGGTGGACCTTTGGCATGCAGGTCTTGATGCTAGCAATTCTAATCATTGGCACTTGTTGTACTTGGAATGCCAATGGCTATCTGTACATGGACATGCGTTCGAGAGCTGGCAATGTATTCTACTACTTGGTCGTCCTGGCTACTCCTATTTTACAGTTGCTCGTGCAAGTCTGGCTGCGTTGTCAGCAAGATTCGCAGTGCGACCTACTCAAGATGTTGAATGACTTATCGAGTCGACTAAATGTTGATACAGTGAAGTTATCCTTGCCACGTTGGCTGTGTCGCCTTTGGATTGCCATTAACTTTTACTATGTGGGCACTTCAATATGTTTTTCAAAATGCCATTACTTCACATTCGGATATTTAATTGCTATAGTCGGCTTCCATGTGCATATCATTCGCACCAACTACATCATCACGCTGTACACATCATTAGTGTATGGGACGTTGGTTCTGCTGAAGGAGCAGGC